AGATCTAAATGCCAGAATTGTGAATATATAGGCTATATATATATATATATATAAAGATCTATCTTAAAATTTGATCTGATATGTATTGTATTGGCATTCATTTTAATAATGTGTGATTTCCTCAGTATTTGCAAAAAGTACTTCACTGACATCACCAGCTCTCCACAGTTCTGACAGGATTCCAACTAGGTCAGTGGTGTATTTCTCTCTCCGGTCAGTAGAGGGGGCCCAAGAGAAGAATTACTGCCATTTAAACTGATGCCCACCCTGAATCTTTTTTTAACATAAAAATAAATGTGCCTGTAATAATTGTGACTTATTTCTCACCTTCTTCTTTCCCATTAGAAAAGTGTTTGAAAAAAAACGAAAACTATGTGGCCTATATAGGCTAAGGAACCAGTGCAGAGGCATAATACGGATGTGTAAGGGACAGCACCCCAACAGTGGTCATTACATGATCTAGAATACCTAAAAATAAACTAAATAATCGTAATAAAGGCTTATTATCTTAATAATTACAATACTTCCTTGTAACAAAATGTGTGAATATATTATAACATGCCACGGGGTTTGGAATAACAGGTTTAATCCCAGTTTCTATTCTTTCTTGCGTTCCTATAGATATCTAAATAGTGGAGATCATGCCAAACGCATTTTAAATGCACTGATAAGGCGTCTAATCGATTACCGAGTGGCACTGATAGATCCGTTTCTCTGAGTCAGCCGGTCGCTGCTGTCCGTTCTGAAGATGGAGGAAGCAGGCGAAAGGAATCACTATTGCTGCGCGTCTATCGCACTGCGTTGGATACACAGCATTTAGACTTTCCATATCAGATGAGATGGATGAGTGGCACCCCGTCCATTGATAAAGGTAAGCTGAAACGTACGTTGCGAATGTCAAGATTTTCCTTTCTTTGTTTAAAGGGTTTATGCGTCTGTGTATTCTGTGTTTTGACAGGTCCAGGACGCGTCCGGATCAGGGTGCGAATTATGGGGGAGTTTGACCCCACTTATTTAAGGGTTAAAACCCTCAAAACAGGTTAAAGAAAAAGGTGTGGGGTCTGTTTTTTTTTTTTTTTTACATGCAAGTATACGTGCGTTTCTGCAATGTTTTCAAGCATGGTTTCAGTAACCAAAAAGTTACATTACAAGTTACAAGTGCGTACCTTACAAGTCAAAGTGCGCTAAATGTATCGCTGGCGAACAGAAATTAACCCGACCGCTAATTGAGGTAACCACAGCAACAGGTGATTGCTTTCGGTCCCGTGTAAAACAAATATTTCGTACAGTGTCCGGCGACTGTAAAAGTAGCCGATTCGTCGCTAACAGTATGCGAATTGTTTAAAATACATACATACATACATACTACCAAACCTACATACAACAATAAGGGGGGAAAAGTCTGACTATTTTTCTGGGTGCAATCGTTAAGATTTCCAGTTTGAGTTTTGGCGCCTCTAGCGCACATACAGAGATAGGCCTAATAGTAAACTAAATCTTAAAAAGTTGTTTTTTCTCTCCCTA